AACCATACCACACAGGACCTCACAGAAGCTTTAAGTAGTCTAAGATCAATGGGGAGCCATTAGTTTTACCTAGAGGGCAACATGATCAGATTAACATTCTTTCAGAGATTGATCTAGGAATGAATGGGAGGAGGGGCAGAAAAATGGGAAGACTGACGCATTTTTATATAGTAGGTTACTATATATTTTGTAGGCAAGAGGCAATGGCCACTTAGCGGAGTCAATCCTCAATCTTATAAGCACATACTTAATCTATTAAATATGCCACTGCAGGACACCACTCTTACAAATTAAAAACCCCAAAGAATTTTTCTTTATGAAGGCTATAGTTACTGATATATGCTCCATTAGAAATTAAAACTGAGAAATCTTTTTTTAAATAATAGACTCATATAAATAACATTCTTTTTTTTTTTAATGACTACAGCCCTGGCTGGTGGGCTCAGTTCGTTGAGCATCGCCCCATGCACTAAGAGGTCACTAGTAGCATTCCAAATCAAGGCACACGCAAGAGGCAACCCAAAGATGTTTCTCTCTCACACTGATGTTCTTCTCTCTCTAAAATGAATAAAACATAGTTTTTAAAAATGACATTTTCCCAGTATGATGGAAAATGTGATATATTCATATACATGGCACAACATAGACGAACCTTAAAAACATTATGCCAGGTATAAGAAGCCAATCACAGTTTTTGAAAATCTGGTATTTTACACCTCAGCACATCTTAAATCATTTCAATCATATTGTAAATGCTCAATAGTCAGAGGAAGCTGATGGTACCAAAGAGGACAGTGCAGTCCTACACCCACACTATAATGTTAAGTGATGCTTGTGATAATGACCCAAGATACTGCAATTTCCCCGATTAGGAAATGCTCAATTCTACTCAATACAATATTTATATTATTGAATGTTATGTTAAATATATTATTTTTCTAAATGTTTCAAGTGATGAAGGTGTTTTATAAAACTAAAATGCATGTTACCTGAGTGTTTCAGTTAACTCTACTTCAAAATTTTACACTATAATCTGGAGGGCTAAAAAAATCCAAGAAAAGCTAGTGAGAAGTTACACGGAAGCTCCCTTCCATTCTCTGCACTAGTTTTAATCACATACATACATACACACACACACACACAAAGGATTCTTCTGGACTTCATCTTGCTTGTTGACACTTGGAAATCCTCAAACTGTTTCCAATAATAGATAATGAGTAAGTAAAAGAAAGCACAATCTCATACACAGGGACTTTGTGCCATTTTTTTTAAATCTATTTACATTATGAAAACCCCAATTAATGAAACCACCTTGAGAGGGCTCTCTCTGGAGCATGCCCACACCTTCCCTCTCAGGCATGCATCTTTACTTTCTGTCCTAAACTCAGGATCCCTAAGCAGCTTTCCCTTGGTTGCAACCAAGTGAGCAATGGGCAGCGGCAGCTCATCCCAGGCTTACCCCTTGAACCTGTCTCCAAGGCCCCCTTTTCTCTAACTTTTCAGTGAGCTAAAATAGCAGCCCCACATGGCTCACTTCTTCCCCACATCGTTTCTAGAAAGCCAAGGTAGAGCACCCACCTAGGCTGTCTCCTGTTGCTGCTTCTACTCTAAGCCCTTCCTTTGTTTCACTGTCCCCAGCTTTAATAAATGTACTCTAAAAATAATTTTAAAAAATGTATTCATATAAATACTACCTTAGTATACTGTATTAAGAGAATAAGAACACTTATTGAAAGATATTTTAAATTGTAGAAAATAAGATTTGTCTGATAGAAAGCCTAAGCCTTCAATATTATCCTTTTGTAGGTCTCTTGCTTAATCCTTTACCTACAATATTACCTAAGAATTCTCAGAACCAAACAGTTCCCAATTTTTTACTGAACATTTTTATTGGGTCCTTAATGTAATTAAATATATTTTAATAATAAATTTTAATATGTAGCAAATAATTTAAAGCTAACAAGCCACTTAAGAAAACTTTAATTTCAAAGTTACAAATTTTTTCTTGGGCTTCAAGTAGAATTTTACAAATCATCTGAAATTGCTTTTCTTATTCTTGCACATTTTCCAGTATGTGCCTCCCTCAACAGAGTATACAGATATTTCAACTTGTCTTCAGTCTTAGTGCAGCGATGAGCTTCAATTTTTATCATGTTTTCTGCTCCAACAGAAAGCATTTATCAAAATAAAAATTCAACTGCCATTAGAAAAATTTGCTTCAGAAAGGCCTTAATTTTATCTACTAAAATTTTATTTTGGTTACAGAGGAGTAAATTTAAAATTTCCACAGAATTTTAAAATTCTAACTTCACTATCACAAAAAGTTAAAAAAAAAAGCCTCACAGATATATCATAAACTGACTTAAATCAAATTTCTATTTATAGAATATTGAATCTTTCTAATCTTTTACATTAAATGCTCACAACAGCTGGAAAGGTAGAGAGACCTGAACTAGGAATCCTAGGAAGAAGACCTAAGACTTCAAAAGTTAATATGACTACACACCCACTATAATAAAACAAAAAAGACTGACACTATCAAATGTTAGCAGGAATGTGGAGCAACAGAAACTCCCATACACTGTTGTGTAGGACTGTAAAATAGCACAAACATGGCACCATATGATCGAGTCATTCCACCTTTAAGTATTTATCGTAAGAGAAAAAGCACTTGTCAAAAAGACTTGTAAAAGAATGTCCATAGTAACTAACTAAAAACAGCCCACACAACTGACAACAGGATAACAGATAAATTTTGGTATATTTATACAATGAAAACAACACAGCAATAAAAAAGGAACTACAGCCTGTCAGGAGTGGCTCTGGTTGAGTGTCGACCCATGAACCTGGAAGTCATGGTTCCATTCCCCATCTGGACACATGCCTGGGTTTCTGGTTCGATCCCCAGTAGGGGGCATGCAGGAGACAGCTTACTGATGATTCTCTCATAGATGTTTCTCTCTCTCCCTTCCTGTCTGAAAACAATAAAAACATTTTTAATTTTTTTAAAAAAGGAACTACAGAACAAGAATGAATCTCAATCATTATACTGATTGGGGGGGGGAGGTTGGGGGGGGGGGGAGCCTTACCCAATGCCACTTACAAAAAGTTTTAGAAAAGGCAAAACTAAAAAAAAAAAGGGCAAAACTAACCAAGGGTGAAGAAAAATTTAAAAAGTGGGTGATGGAGGGAAGAGTGGCTGAACTGACTAGGAAAGGTTAAGAGATAACTTTCTAGTCAATTATGAAGTCCTACATCCATAAAAAGCTTTAGATTACACAGTTTTGTGGAAACTGATAGAATGGCAACCATGTGCATTTCATTGCATGTCAAACTTACCTAAAATAAATAAATCTATCTATATAATAAAAGCCTAAGCCACCTTTATGGCAGAACGACCAGAACGACCGGTCACTATGATGCACACTGACCACCAGGGGGCAGATGCTCAACACAGAAGCTGCCCCCTGGTGATTCAGCCAGAAGCCCTGCTCATGGCTGGCAAGAGCAGCGGCGCTGGCGCAGTAAGGAGTGAGGGGTCCGGGACTGTGAGAGGGCCTGGGCTGTGGGACCCCCTTCAGCCGTGCCCCCCACCCCCACCCCCAGTGCACAGATTTCATGCACCAGGAGTCTAGTAAATGAATAAAAAGACTGAACTCAAGTTAATGATATACACATTGCTGAAGTGTTCTTTAAGGGGAACATGTATCGATATTTGAAATTTACTTTGACATGCATTCAAAGTAAAAAAATGAACTGATAAATTATTTGTGTGATATAGCAAATACAGCAAAACACTAATTGTAGGTAACAGACATGTGGGTATTCATTTTCCAATTTTCAACTTTCCTGTATGTTGGAAAATATAAAAATGTTAAGGAAATTTTTCATAGCAAAGCTGAGACCAAAAAATACGGTGATTCAGTAGGTGGTAAAAGTTTCTCTCGATGCTACACGCTCTACTTACAACTTCACAAAACTCACCATCTTCTAGAACCATATACACCAAGACCCCAAATCACTTGCAGTCCCCAAGAAAAACGTACATTTCAGGAATTGCTTCCTCATAAGCTGTTCACAATGTTTGAAACTGCCAGAGATCAATACAATAATTATGGAAAAATACTCTAAGGATGTATTCAACAATGTGCTAAAACAATTTGCTGAATCGAGATTCCTAATGAATTCTAAAATTTATACTGCTGAACAGATTTTAAGTTGTAAATTATTTGGCAGTATTCTCCATTAACTCCAATTTTCTTTTTTTTATTAGATTGCAACCGCTAACATCTGAGTAACGCAGCTATCGTCCCCCTAAAATCAAACAAAAACCTACCCAATGATTGGCATCCGAGGGATGATAGATTACAAAGAAAACAGCAAGTCATCAATAAGGGGCCATCCAGCTTTCTCCTTCAGCCTAATACTATCATTTAAGATGTGGCTGAAAGCAAGTTCTACGTTATAGTAAATTTTTTAAAAAAAATAAAGAATGGGAACGATTCAGCCGCGAAAATGCAAAACTAAATGTCCATGTGCTCCTGGCCGCAAAATCCACCTTACCCCTCGGGCAGGCAAAACAATAAGCACCCCCCCTTTTTTATTCCCGAGACAAAACCGCAGACCGGGCAAGGGCGAGCCCACGCCCCCGCCCCCGCCATCCCGGTCCCAGCCGGGAGCCCGGCGGAGGGTCCTTTTCCTTTGTGCGGAGCAGCAGGGAGGCGGCGGGGGGCGGCGGAGGCCCAAGCGGAGGGCGCGGAGGGGAGAGGTATCGGCGCGTCCCACAAACGGGCCGCGAGGCGCCGCCACAAACCTCAGCGGCGTCCCGAGGAGCAAACCCACGAACTTGGGTGTGATCTCATCAGGGATGAGCGCGGAGAGTGCGACCGGGCGCCCCTCCGGGGCAGACCCCCGCCCAGGCCTTTAAAAGCCACCTCCCGCCGCCGCGGGCAGGGTCCTGCCGCCACCCCCACGCGGGCCGAGCCTGGGGCGGTCCTCACCTGCTGGACGGAGCTGTCCTCCGGCACAGCGAACTCCTCCTTCTCCTTCGGGGTCTTCACAGTGACTTTCATGATCTTGGGCTCAGCGGCAGCAGCGGCCGCGGGGGCACCGGTCGCTTCGGCCGCGGCAGCGCTGTCCTGGGAGCTCGGAGGGCCACCGCTTTCACCACTCTCGGCCATGGCGGCGGCGGTGACTCAGGAAGGCGCAGGCGAGCGAGGGGGAGCCAGCAGACGCCAGAGCCGGCAGGCCCGGACAACGGAGGACGCAGGGCGCGCCGCCTCAGTGGCTAGGGGCGCAGGGCCGCCCTGGCGGGCGAGGGGCGGCAGAGCTGGGCGTGGGCTCCGGCGTAGGCCCGGGTCGGGCGCTCGGAGGCCGCCGTATGTTCAGACGCCGCTCGGTCGCAGCGACATCCGCAGCCGCCGCCGCCGCTTCCTCCTCCTCCCCACCCCCTCCCCCGCGTTCCTCCGTCGCCGCCGCCGCGCGGGGCACGCCGGGTAACGCGGCTGGCGGCGTCGGCCAGTCATGCCAGGCCGACCGGGCTTCGCGCCCCCGCGGCTTTGCTTCCCCTCTCCCGTGGGTCAGTGTAGGCACAGCCAGAGCGAAAGAATAAACGCAGAGTGGGGCGGGAGAGGTCCGTTTATTTTCACTCCTTTCACCAAAAAATAAACTCGCAGGTTCTGCAAGACATCGCGGCGCACGAGGATGACTTCACAGTTAGCGAAATTACTAGAAAGGGCTCGCCCACTGGGCGCTGCGGCCGTGGCTGCGCCTGCGCTCTCGCGACCCAGGGCGGTTCCCCACCCCCTTACGTCATACACTGCGCCGCCGGGCTCACTGGACCAGGGCTAGTTCCGCGCAGCCACTGGGACAGGGGTCTCTGATGAATGCTGGAGAAGTTTTATTTTAATATGCTTAATTTTTGTTTACTTGGGAGATTTAAAATGCTTGATCTTACTGTCCGGAGCGCGGGAGTTGGAAGCTGAGTTAATCGAGGAAAGAGCCTCATAAACCCCTCACTTACCCCCCAAAAAAGTAGATGTCAGTAGCCACACAGCGCAATCCCGTGGAGTCATCGCTCCCCGGCAGCGGCGTCCTGCCCTAGGGGCAGCCCCGTTTTGCCCCGTTTTGATGAGGCCGCCTGTGTGGACTGTGGCCTCCGCTCGCACGCTGACATTCCTGCGCGAGCAACCCCGAATTTTCTGTGAACACTCACTTCCCAAAATGTCCGAGCAGAAACGGAGTCCCACCCAAGTGAGACTGCTCAATGCAGCCGAGGTGTCCTTTTTATATTCTTACATCAAATAAGTTACTGTTTTATTTCAGACTTTAGGTGGCATTAAAGGTAATTGTTCAAGAAATATTTTCAATTTAATATGGGTACAAATTAACAGGAAGTTATTTTCCCCCTGAGAATTCTAACTTTGAAATGACCTCAATGTTTGTCTTTAAAAAATGACTTGCAAGGAATATATCACACCGGACATTAACTTTATTAATCAGTGTTACACAGATGTAAACCTGACAGCCCACTGTGACTTAAATACGCAAGGATATAATCTGTATTTCTGTTTTTAAACCATCCAACTCTGTTCTGGAAGTAAATACTCTTGCATGATGAATTCTTTTGAGCAGAGTTCTTTTGTAATCTGGGAATAAGAGAAATTCTGAAAGTATAAATTGCAATACAGTCATCATCTGGTATTAAACTTCTGGCAGCATTGTTTAATAACATTAAAAATTACACAGGGTGCCCTGGCCCGTGTGGCTCAATTGGTTGGACATAGTCCGGGGCAGTGAAAGGTTGTGGGTTCCATTCAGCCCAGGTTGCTGGCTCCATCCGTGGCAGGAGGAGTGCAAGAGGCAGCCCATCCATGTTTCACTCTCACATTGATGTTTCTCTCTCTCTCTCTCTCTCTCTCTCTCTCTTTCTCTCTCTCTCTCTGAAAAAGTTTAAAAATAAACACGAATAGCCGAAACCGGTTTGGCTCAGGGGATAGAGCGTCGGCCTGCGGACTGGAGGGTCCCGGGTTCGATTCCGGTCAAGGGCATGTACCTGGGTTACGGGCACATCCCCAGTAGAGGGTGTGCAGGAGGCGGCTGATCGATGTTTCTCTCTCATCGATGTTTCTAACTCTCTATCTCTATCTCTCTCCCTTCCTCTCTGTAAAAAATCAATAAAATATAAATAAATAAATAAATAAATAAACAAACACGAATAAAATTATCTTTTAAAAAAATTACAGAGGGCTCTCTGCTGAAGGATACATACTCTTGTGAAGGATGACTACTTGCTTCTGTCTAGATGTCAGGAAAGCATTTCTTCTCAAGGTAGAAGTTCCACCATTGGACAATCATTTATTTCTAACCAAACACTTATGAAACTGCTCTGTAATGATGTCTACATTAATTTTATTTCTTTAAAATTATGAAGTATATGCACAATTTATGAAGTAATATAATTTATCTGTAAGAATATACAGTATAGTTATTTTGGCACTTTTTAGAAATAATCCTATATTTTAAGGAACTTTTGGAGATGGGGTTCCAGATAAGGGATCAACAAACTTTTAGGGAAGACTAGGTAGTAAATAGGTTAGCTTTGTGAGCCATACATTATCTGTAAATACTTGTATTCCCATATAGCTTTGTAACTTTTTTGGTGTCACTCATCCCATTCTGCCTTGTATTACATTTGTGTGCATATCTCCTTTATTAGACAAGGCCCTTGAAAACAGGGATCAAGTCTTAATTACACAAGTGCCAACCTAATTTCTTGGCATTAGAGCATTTATTGTAGAACTGAATTGTTGGAACTATTGTTTTCAACTAGAGAGGAAATTCACTTAGAACATCATATTTTATACTCTTCTGTTTCTCCCACGGTTTATAGTATAGTGACATAGATAATAGGTAATACAGTGGGGCCTTGACTTACGAGTGTCCTGACTAACGAGTTTTTCGAGATACGAGCGTCTCTCGGCCGATTTTTTGCTTTGAGTTGCAAGCTAAAATTCGGGTTACGAGCCAGCTTCAGATACCCCACCGCTAGTTGGCGCAGCGAACATCACAGTGAACGCCACAACATCAGCCCAGCATCGTCTCACTCGTTCACTTTTTGATTTGACATACGAGTAATTTGAGTTATGAGCTCCGTCACGGAACGAATTAAACTCGTAAGTCAAGGCCCCACTGTACTAACTTGCTTTGTAATAGGTTCAGAGGGAAAAAACATTCACTCCCTGCTTGTGTAAAACTCCAAGTCTAATGATTTCAGAGGACAAATTTATTCAACACACATGTATTTGTCTCATAGAGCACTTAATAAGGCTAGTATCAACAGAATTCCAATAGCAGTATGAGGCCAACCTGCAATATTAATAACCATCCTCCCCAAGGTCCCATAAACCACCAGGGTCTACTTTGGCTGCTTCCTAGGTATTGTTTTTGTATTGACTTATCCCTTTGGCCCAAGGCATTAATCTAGGCACAGAAGGATGTATTAGCAATTACACATACTTTGCCATGGCCTGCACAGAGGAAATCTAGGGCAGTTATATCAATCATAATAACCCTGAACAGTGAGTTGAGGCTGACTTGAATGCCTTCCAGGGCCAATGTGATGTCATTGATCTCTTCAGCTAAATTGAGGACAAATTTTCTTCTACCTCTTCTAACTGGATGGTTCTCATTGTAGGAATAATCCCCCGCTCCCAGGTTGCATACAAACAAGTAAATTATCCCTCTGAGAAACTTCTCCAAATAACCAAGGTCAGCCTCATATTAGATAGTTCTACATGTGGTCTGAAGGCTCTGTGATCTATTGTTGTTTCTTCAAACACTTGAAGGTTTCTTATCACAAACTTATAGTACAAATATAACAAAGTTCATCAAGAGGGTATTGGCCAGAAATAAGAGATGACTGTAGATGGTAGCACAAGAAGTCCCTAAGGTGCAAGCCACTGTTTTGTTTCGTTTTTTTCAAGAGGAGGAGAACTGTGGTTATTTGTGACATCCACCTAAGAAGTACAGTCCTGGGGCACACATGATGCACCTGGAAAGAAAATGTTTATAATTATTGAAGCCCCCCTTCCCCCAACCAATCTGACCTGTATCAGTTGTGGGGCACAAGATGGCAGTGCCTCTATTGTAGCCTCCTAGCTGGTTGATAAGCCCTAGGTTTCCTAGTTCATTTGAATAATTAAGTCGTCTTTGTTTACGGAAGGACTGCCTACAGGCAGGTAGTCCGAACTGTCCTGTTTGTCCATGCCACCAGCTGAGTGGCATTCATCCACTCCACAGAATGACTAGTGAAGACTACAGGAGTAGGAGTGGGAAAGGTGCTGACAGATATTTTGCAGGGGAGGTACAAGAGATGGGACATTCCCTATTTTTTTAACTTTAAAAAAATTTGATTTTAGAAAGAGAGGGAAAAAGAGAAACACCAAGTAGTTGTTCCACTTATTTATGCATTCATTGGTTGATTCTTGCAGGTGCCCTGACTGGGAATGGAACCCACAACTTTGACATATCAGGATGATGCTCTAACCAACTGAGCTACCCTACCAGGGCTCCCTGCCACTTTGAACTGGCTTATTATTATACAAGAATGGCGATCAACTGTGATCAGAGAGCTATGTGGTGGACAGCAGAGCCAGTTAAATGTAGTGTTTGCTAGTTCAGGAGAACCTTACCTGAGTGTCTTCCTTCATGAGGAAAGGTCTGGGGATAGCTCTGAAGATGGGAGACCATGATATCTCCCAGGCCCCCTGAGGTCCAAGATATTCCTTACCCTAGTGCCAGACAACTTACCTCTACCACCAAAAAAAACCAGTATGTCCCATTCCAGTAGCTATAACTTCATCTTCTTCCATTCATCCCTGATTCACACCCAGACCTTTTGTCCATAAGGATGAGACACAAAAAGCAATAAGGACATTTTTCTAAAACTTATTGAGAGCCATTATGTCCCCCATTTGGACCACCACAGGCCATTATAGGGGACTAAGGGAGCATGTACTCAATCATTATCCTTACCCACTAGGACCATGTCAGTCCAACAGAATCCAAGCAGCTAAACAAGAATTAAGCTTAAATCTTTTTAAAATATATTTTTATTTATTTTAGAGAGGAAGGGAGAGGGATAGATAGAAACATCAATGATTAGAGAGAATCATTGATCGGCTGCCTCCTACATGCCCCCTACAGGGGATCAAGCCCACACTCCGGGCATTTGCTGTTGACTGGAATCGAACCTGGGACCCTTCAGTCCACAGCCGACACTCTATCCACTGAGCCAAACTGGCTAGTGCAAGCTTAAATAATGTACCAATCAGGCCAACCTGTGATTGTCACTAGAGGAAAAAAGAAGCATCATGCCCAGGGTAACAGTCTGGATTTTCGCTATCATTTTATATCCCGCCCCCCACCTGCCACCCCCCTTTTTATCATTACC